CTAATTTCAAGCCGGTTCCTTGTAAAACCAATCAGGGTTTTACAGGGATGGTGAGGGAACTTGGGATAATAAATTGAACACTGACTGAGCCCCTGACCATCCCTAAGCATCACCATCAGGACCCCTTGTTCTCGGGGGCTTTGGTGCCTGTCTCCCTTGCCCCAGATCCTCCTTAGACTCGGATAGTGCTCTGTTGTAAGGTAAGCACCATGGGCCCTTGCCCATGCTCAGACTGCAGATGTGCTTCTTGCCAGAACTTTCTTGAGCTGAGTTGGTGACAGGCTGCTTTCAATCCCACCACCATGCAGTACCCACAAGGGACCTAGGATTACCCAGAGGTGATGAGGCGTTGTCCTGGTTACTCAGGGGCTCTCAAGAATGCTTTCTCTCAAGCTCACTGCCTTAGTATCAGGAAAAACAAAGAAGGGTATTAAAGATAGGGGCCTTCTCTTTCCTCCCAGAAAAAGACCATGCTCTTATTCCCATCCAGACTGCTGGATGTTAACAGACACCAACTGGAGCTTGCAGGAATTCTCCCTTCTATGAGAACAGCACTGACTTTCAGGGATGGGACCCCAGCAGTCTTGTTTTTGTGACAGGGCCTTGTTCCTTGAATACCTGGCAGATCCAGGGAAAAAGAATCCCAAGATGGACGAGCAAGACCCAATTTGCTATCCACAACTGATCACCTGAGGGGTAGGTAAAAATGCAAGCAGATTGCTCACAACTAACAATTGTCCTTTAAGATGGTCAGAAACTTGGGGCTGGGGTTGTAGCTCAGTGGTAGAGCATTTGCCTGGTACATGTGAAGCACTGGGTTTGATCCTCAGCACCCCCATAAAAATAAATAAATAAATAAAGTTCTACATTCTTATAAAATGGTCAGAAACTTAAACTGGGACACCTGTCCTGAGTGGGTCGGTCTCCTTAGATTATTTCTATAGAACTAGGACTGAAAGAATAGGATGATCTCCTTTCTAAGGGAAGAAGCCACCGGACAAGACTTTGGCCTTGTGAGCCATCCTGCTCCTACTAGGACAAAGATATTGGTCCACAAGTCAAGGCAGTGGTGCCTCTTCTCTTCAGGGAGAAGCAGAGGTGAGACACAAGATGGGACATTTGATCTTTGAGGCCCAGCTTGCCCCTTCTCCCCCCTGTTGGCAAAAGACATGAAGCACCCCCTTACCCTGCCAGTAAATTCTCTTTTTGCCCTTGCTAGTTAGTGTTGGGTTTCTATCACTTGCAGCCAAGTGACACATTGGCAAATTTCTCATCCTGACAGCTGGCCTGTCCCATAATTAGATGACCCTTCTTGTGTCTTTTGCATCAAAGCTCCATTTGTCTCCTCCTTCCTGGAGGGTGCCTCTGAGTCAAGCCTGCTGGGTGGGCCACCCAGGTGTTCAAGGTTTCTGGAGGACACCACTCTCCTGGGGCCCTAAGTTTTCCATAGCACTCTTTTCCTTCATTGCAGGTTACATTTCTGCCTTTCTCTGGGTGGAATTCTGGGTTCCTTGACTCAATCATTTCTGCCCCTTGGATTACATCCCTTTTCTGTGAATGGTGAAAATAGTAAATATACCCCTTCCTCCATCCAAGACTGTTGACTTCCCTGCCCCTAAGAACCCTTTCTCCTTTCTTAGTATTTTTTCTTCCTTTTCCTTTCACTTTCCTTTTTGACATTAGAAAAAAATTGTTTTAATTAGTTATACATGATGATAGAATCATTTATGCACTTTGATATGTCATACATTGATGGGGTATAATTTCTCATTTTTCTGATTTTACGGGTTATAGAATCACATCAGAGAGCTCTGCTTTAAGGCTTTATTTTGGAACATTAGACCTTGCTTTCAATAGACTTTCAGAGATCTTATTTCTAAAGGTTATGAGTGGAGTCCTTTACATTCTCAAGGTAAATACTCACATAGCGGATATTTTCTAGGCTAAGGTGGATTTGAATTTCTTGCCAAGGTTGGAGAAATTAGTGGGAGACAGAATTCTTCTATAGATGATGAAAAGGGCTGATATTCACTCTTCAGGCCTTAAATTGCTACTAGAACCTGGGTACCAACAATTGTCTTGGCCCATAAGATGCATAAATCTAGGACATTGAATCAGAGGTTACTTAAGCAAAGAAGAAGGGATCATGGATTATCCCTCTGTCAGTAGCAGCAAAGTCAGCAACAGCCACCAGTTTTGGGCAGTCATGGTTGTACTGCCACCATGGGATCCAATGCCTACCAGCAGGGGCAGCAGTATCCAAATTGGGCATCTGTGGCATTGACTCTGGCTCTGGTCTGGCTATCCAATCCCACTTTGTGCTTCCTCAATTTCTGTACCTGGTTCTCTAGCCTGCCCCCATGATTCTGTTAATGTTCCCAGTGTCCTTTTAACACTTCCCTTTTTCTTTGAGATTACTCCCAGAAAGCAGCTATGGATGATATACCTGCCTAGGATTCTCTATGTGTAATCATTTGCTTTGTTTTCTTTGCAGCACAAAAATCTGAAATATATAATTGGGAAGGCTGACATGTAAGAGCTACTGACTTGACGAGAGAATGAGGCTAGCAGATTCCCCAGTTGCATGACTCAACACAACTTTAGTTTCTCCTCGAGAGATGATAAGACTACTTGTTTCTTCTGGGTGGGCAGGAAGCACAGCTGTTCAACTGAAGCAGTGACAGAAGTAAGAGAAGTGCAGGGAAAGGAAGAGATACTTCTTACCCAGAAAGTAGCTTTATAAATGACTTAAGTCCTGTGCTTAAAAAAAAAAATCATCAAAGCTGTGACAAATCATTTCAGTGTGCTGCTCTCATTTTATAGGGGAAATTATATTCTGTAGTGATCTGGTGACTTTTGGGTTTATCAACTAAACCAGAATGACACTGACAGTGAAAGGTGATGGTATGAATGAAAATTCTGAGATAACAGACACAATGGTCTCCCTAATTAGTGGAGTGGAGATTTAGAGATTCTAGAAGGTCTCACTCCGGGTCTGTCAGGCAGTGAGATAGCTATGGTGGTGCCGATCCCACAGCATTCCCTCATGTTCCTCAGCCACATTCTATTTCTTTCTCTTCAGGCCCAAAGCTGCAGACTGACAAGTGTCAACATGCCTGCCCCTTGCCCACACCTCCCTATTCATGCAACTAGCAATCCATTCTGCATTTGCACACATTCCTACAGAGGCAATTTCCATAGCAACAGTAGAACTATAAAAAAAAAAAAAAGAAAGAAAGAAAAAAAAAAAACACCTGAACTATATTTTAAAGATAAATCACCCTTTAAGAAGTCTTCCATTCTAGGGAATCACAGGCCATGGCCACTTCGAATTTCTTAGTCCTTTGTCACATATTTACATTTGTACATTTCTAATTCCATTTCACTGTTGTTGTTGTTTTTCAATTTAATTAATTACAAACAGCTTCTCTTTTTAGCTGTCATTGATGGATTCAGAAGTATTTGAATCAACTAAAAGCAAGGAGAAAAAACATTGTGTGTTTTGAGTACCTACTACAAACCCAACTCTTTTACATAAATTTTATCTCATTTTCATAGAAATCCAGACAGAACAACGACACCTCTGCAGCACAGGGTGAGCCCTGTGCAAAACTGGCAAATTTTATATACAGCATCCTAATCCTGTGTCTTATCACCAAGGAAGCCAGAGAGAAAGAAGGGATTAGAGAGGGAGTCTATGAGTCTATGTGGGGAAGCGGATGGAAGTGAGAGGGGTGGGTGACGAAAAGGCCAGTGTGAGAGCTGAGAACACGGGGCTCCAGCTGGAGGTTCAAATTGCTCTTCTCATCAGAGAAGAGGGAAAGGAAGTGGGGAAGAATAGTCTTGATTCATTTTTCCTATCTGAGGAGAGCTGTGCTCTGTAAGCAAAGGGTATTAAGTAATTGGGGCTTGCTTCCTTGAAACCTATCTGTCAGCCTCAGGGAAGTCTATGCTTTTTTAGTTGAAAGAAATTTGTACATAGTGCTATATATTTTTTTAAGTTGGTGATTTTTCAGTTCCCCCCCAAAAATCTTTCAATTTTCCTGAGACTATTTCTTTCTTTTTTTTTTCTGGTTTTGTGCTTAGAAGCTGATATGAAAAATATCTGACTCACTTGGAATAGAAAATTCAACTCATTCATTCATTTATTCACACAAGAAGTATTTACTAGTCTCCTTCTTGAGATAGTCATGGTGGTCTAGATGAGGAAAGGTGAATAGACCTGGCCTTATTCTCTCACAGCTTGTCATCCAATTGAAAAGAATTATTGATAAATTAATCAGTTTTTAAAACAATTATATTAATTAAAAGCTGATAAAAATGATGGGGAAAAATACATAATAATGTTCAAAGTGCTAGAGAGTAGTCCTTGTTCCCACTACATTCTACCATTAAGATCTATCCATTTGGAGGCTGGGGTTGTAGCTCAATGGTAGAGCGCTTGCCTAGCACATGTGAGGCACTGGGTTCGATCCTCAGCACCACATAAAAATAAATAAATAAAGATCTATCCCTTTCAATATTGGAGGAAGCAACACAAAAGCCATCCAATGTATAGTGTGAATGAATTCAGTCAGATTGTTTTCCTTTGAACAGCTTCAGGAAAACAGTGTTCTGAGAAAGTAGGAAGATTTATGGAATTGAGGGAGAGTAAAGGAATAACTTAAAAACATTGGACATTGTTCAGTGGGCAAACCTGGTTAGGGAGATCCAGAAACCCTATTTGCAGCAAGAAGGTACCAGCTGTCAGAGAGGGAGTGAGAAGGACACAGAAGGAGAGGCTGAGAGACCGGAAAACAGAACTGGTCCAAGCAGGGCCTTAGCCAACACTGTACATACCTCGAGAAAGGTTGAGTACAAAGTACAGGGAGTGATCTTAATTCATTCATCATTAGCACTTGAGCTATTCAAAGCTAATTTTCAATAACTTCATGATTAATAACAGACACAGGTGTTTGGCACTCTGTCTGAAACCAAATGGCATCTTTGTTTTATTTGAGGTTTTCCAGATGGCTGTGTTGGATCCTGCCAACCACACCAGATGGGAAGGGTTCCCTTACCTGAACTGAATCTGCACATCCCTCCAGAAGTTCTCTGTCAAGCTGAGCTCCTGAGCGAGATACATAGGAAATGGTTGTGTTAAATGAACATCCTTTATTCTTGGTTATGACTTAATCCTTGGTAATAATTTATGTTGGGCTATAGATATAATTTCTTTCTGCTTGGTTGCTTAGTGAATTAGATCAAAAAATACGTAAACTTAGAGTCTCTCCCTCATTTTACTTTATTTTAGTCTGAAGCCTAAGCCAGAAACTGGTGTAAGAAGCCAGCCTATCGGTTTGCTTCCCTACAGCTGCGACTTGGTCCTGCGTATTCCTCTGGATTAAAAACAGCTCCTAAAACAAAGACTCAGCCAACCCCATTTTGCCATTCTGGAGGCAGAAATAGAAAGAGAGGGAGTTTCCTGGAATTACTTATCATTCATTCACCCTTTCCAGCACCATCTCCATTGCCAAGTCCTGACGGGTATGTAGACCCTCAGCTAAACCCATGGGAAACTCCTCCCTGGGTCAGGTTCAGGGAAGAGTGTTTGCAAATGCTTCCTGACTCAGGGCCCACTGGGACAGTTCCTATAAAGGCTTTGTCTTTTCCTCCATAAAGAATTGATGTGGATTTCCTCTCCTTATTTCCTCTTCTCTTAAGCATGGTTCTGAACTTCCTCTTGGAATCTGAATCTCAATAGGATTTTATTTTATGTCAGTGGGAAAGCTTATGCATAATTCAACTTCATGTCGATTGAAGAAGGGGCAAGGAGCTCCCTCTGTGTGCCTGGAGTTGAGTGATCTTGGGACTGAAGGACTGTGCCTCACCACATTTCATCTACCAAGCGGCTTGCTGACAGCACTTGCAAAATAAAAGTTAATCAGTCATTCAAGTGTAAGGCAGCTTCTCTGCTTTCAGGAAATTCATAATCTGGTGAAAGGGATAAAGACATATAAACATAAAAATAATAGAAAGTTGTGTAGTCCAACAGGAAGTGTTGGGCTGGAAGTCAAGAGCCTGTATCAGAGTGGTAGTTCTGCCATACACAGACGTTGACCCAAAATGACCTCTCTGAACCGCAGCTTCCTCATCTGTAACATGAGGGAGTTGGGCTAGATAATATCAGAAGGAGTCCTTCGCCTACAAACAATGTTCAAAATCGTTTCCATCTTCACCAACTGCTCCCACTCACACTACCACCATCTAAATCCCCTTCCACTGGGAAATCTTCAGCCTCTCTGCTTCATGTCTTTCCATCCTAGAATTCATTATCCCACCAGGGTAATCTTTGGAAAACACAAATCTATCTTGTCACAGGCCTCTCCTTCACTGCCTAAAAATCCTCCAACAGCTCCTAACTGCTATTAGACATGGAAGGCATAGCAGCTCTTCCTTGCTCCCCATAACTGAGCCTCCCTCCCCGTTTCCTCTCTAACCTTGATTTCTTTGCTATCCCCCTCACCCACCATGCTGTTACTGCCTTCTTTTCCAATCCATGTCCAAACAAATTGTATGCTCTTCTATCCAGAAAATTCCCTTTCCAGTAAGACCCATATCTTCTGGGCTTTTTGCCCTAGTCATACTTTCTTCTCTCTCTATTCCTCAAAGTAGGACCAGGGGACCAATGAGATGCAACAGAAATCATGATTGGATTCTAGTCCAGTCCAGAAATTAAGTGGAGGATAAATTTATGGTTTGGGAGAATTATGAAGGCAGGAGCATAAAAGAACAGGCTTGGGCCATGTTCCATGGTAAAGGAATATCTAGTACATGGTTTATTAAACCCTGTCCTTCATTTCTTTTTTTCTAGGACACATAGCTTCTTTTGTCATGAAGAAGAAGATAGGACTCATTATGGCTAAGCTGGTTGATAGGCTCAGTGTTTGGTCTGTCTGGTCTGAACTGGATAGTAACATATTTGGTATCGTGGCTTCTGGTGGTCTTTTGAGCACCATACTTTATTCTCCAAACCCTCCTGTGCTCTATGCTAGGATGCTATCCCCAAGCAGAGCTTCTTTGGGTTCTTCAAGGTTCCCAGGGATTTCTAAATGCAGAAATTTCTGGATTTAAATTTGTGGAGCAGCCCAAGAAACAAACTAAATTTATTTGAAGATTCTTCTCTTTAATCCTTTTAATTTATCAAGGTTTGCATTCCACTTCATAGGAAATTAGTATTTGTTGTAATATTAAAATGACATTTTAAAGTACTATCTGCACTTTAGAGAATGGGATTTCAAGTCAGAAAGGTGGAATTTGACTTACTCTTCAGCTAATCACTAGTTGTATGACCTGGCCACGTGTCTTTTCTTCTCTGAGCTTTCACATGTGTCCATCATACGACTGCATGCTAATTATTCCATGGAGTGTAGCACCCTGAGGGCCACAGTCTGCCTTTTACTCATCTGCATATCCTTCATATATACTAGAAGAGGGTCCTACCCCAGAAGTCATTTTCTGTGATTCATCCCTCTACATCAGACACAAGTGCACCTATGGTTATCCCATTTTTACCACTAGATGGAGAGCACGTATCCTAAAAATTTTAATTCATTAGGAAGTAAGAGAGCAAATGTTTGTCTATAGCATCTTAACCAAAACAACTTATTTATTCATGATGATATTATTAAAACTGTCTCTCAATACATACAATTATAAGGTAACTCACAGAACTATTTATTCTAAAAATAATAAAAGGTCAAAGGCAAGGGAGAAATACTAACATCAGGATAGTGATTATCTCCAGGGATGGCATAAGTAGAATTGGGTGAGAGTAGAGAGCTCTAAATGTATTTGATAGCTCATTCCTTATTTAAAGATATAGGAAGCAAAAAAATGTTAACTCTGGACGAATTCTGAGTGGTGGTGGTGGTATTTGCTGTTTCTGTGAAGTTTTTCAAAATTACAAATTTTTTTAAGTCGGGGGGAAGATTCAAAGATAAACTATATATCTACTCATTTTATCTCTATGTCTACTGAGTTTTTAAATGTTCTCCTTGAGAGATATGCAATCTACAACATAAAGCAAGATAGCAGAAAACCTGGTGTCTCTGTACTTGGTCTCTCACATGGCCATCCTTAACCAAACGGTAAGTCTTCTAAATGTCACAACTTAAAATTCTTGGCTAGTTAGTTTTTATCTCTGAATTGGATTCGTTTAAACTAATCTGAAAGAAGAAAAAAAGCTGTATATGTCTGTGCTGGTTTCTATTGCTATGTAATGAACTACCATGACATTTAGTGCTATAAAAGAGCAATTTTGTCATGTTCATAGATTTTGTGGGACAAGATTTTGCACACCTTCCTGTGGGGACACCTTGTCTCTGCTCCATGACATCTGGGGCCTCAAGTTGGAAGACTCAAGCTGGAGGGTCACTTGATAGTAGGGAGGGAGTTGATGGCGGGGGCCATACTTACTAGCAGGTATCTTCACTGATGTGTCTGGTGGTTGATACTGGCTGGGCGTGTCTACTGAGCCACATACTGGTTACAATCAAATGAACACGATTGGTCCCAGCTCTTCATGTAGTGATTGTCAAAGACTGCGCAAGAGTATTTAAAACCATCACAATATGCTCTTAACTCTGCTATTACAACAAAGTGGATTGATAAAGCTGGACCTCACTTCCTCTTTGTCCACTCAAATGACCCATATGGGGGAGCATTTCAATGTATCTTTTAAATTATCTAGGAACATGTCTGGTCAAGTTCAAGAAGCTTAAGTATAAACTAATATGGTTTTTTTTTTATCAGCCTTGTACCTTGGGAAAGCTGTTTAGTTATTTTTTATGACCATTAAACATGCAAGTATTCATAAATAACACATATAATAAGATTCTCATCACCAATGAAATATTCTCCAGAGGGGAATATTGTCTATTGCTGCATAATAAATTACTGACAACTTAGTGGTTTAAAACAACAAATGCATTATCTCACAGCTTTTGTGAGCCAGGAACCTGTGAACAGCTTAGCCCTGCAGCTCTGCCTCAAAGCTTCTCATGGGTGGCAATCAAGATGTGGGTCAGACTGTCATCTGAAGACCTGACCAGTGTGAAGTATCTGCTTCTGTGTGACTCACTTACATTTCCTCACATGAGGCCCTCTTCACAGGACTGCTTGCGCATCCTCATGACATGACACTGGCTTCTTCCATAGTGAGCAATCAAAGAGAATGAAGAGGAAGCCACTGGTACCTTTACATTCTAGGCTTTGTAAGTGACAGTCACCTCTGCCATATTCTTATTCATTAGAATTGAATTACTAAGTCCATTTCATATTTCAGAGGAAGGGAATCAAGTTCCATTTCTCGATGGAGGCATGTTAAAAACTTTTGATTATATATATTAAAACTACCCAAGGGAGATTGAAGAAAGGTTTCTCTCACTCTATCCTGAAGGAATCTGCCTTCAGACACCCATCTTCACTTGGGCAAAAAATGTGAGAAAACAAGTTGTTTCCACAGGAAAAACTGTAAATTAATTTCCGTATGGCCATTTAGATAAGAAATCTACCTGGATTCATCTATTCTAGTCTGTTCCTTGCTTTAGGATGACAACTATAATCATTGCCAATAAAAAGGGGGGGGGATGCTCTGTGTGTTTTATTTTGCATATAATTGTGGTAGCATTATGGAAGTATGGGTATTCCAGTGCATATTCTAATCACATCCTCAACAGTAGGGTGAACGTGGCCACTCAAGTCATCTAGACAAGTGTGTTGTTCTTTATATTCCATTCTATTACATATCTTCCAAACCCCCGAACTTGAATGGTCTGGATGATAGATGAGACTGTGCTTCAGGCCAAGGTTGATCGTAAGATGCAGAATTGCCATCTTCAAAACGCAAAACTCAGTGAAGTAAAATGCAATCCTGAGAGTTTCTCATCTGTAGTGAGGCATAGCAGAAAAGATGCAATTACTCATTTATCTGAGAGAGGGAAACTTAAGTGGCACGCAATCCGGATATCTAAAAGGAAGACAGGCTGCAATTCCTAATGTGGGAAATACCAGTCCTTAGGATACGACAGTGAGGCCACCGACAGGAAGGTGGGGGCGGCTCCCTTCAAATAAAAAGGGTTGAATTGTATCTGGTTCTGGATCTAATTCAACTTGACTACTGAGCAGTAAGATAAATTGAACCCACAGAGAAAACTGAAAATCGCATTTTCCTGGCAAGTCTCTCAATGGGCTTAGTGTGTTTAGATTTATGGGGGGTGGGGAGGGGTAATGACTTTTTCTGCCTTGGTTTTTCACTTTTTTTTTTTTTTTCCAGGACTGATTTTCCATCTGGCCTAACCAGAGCCTGAGGTTACTGAATCCAGTGGAGCCAATAGGTTCGACTTGAGCTTGCTTAAAGCATGCTTAGAACAGGGAAAGACAAATTGGCTCCTTTCTGAAAGGCCTATGGAGCAGAAGCCTGCTTCTCCCTCCCCAGACCACAGCCTTGAAAGAGAAAACATCCTGTTCTTCCAACTCATGAGAAGCCACTGCAGTGGAGCAAGAGGCTCGGTGGCCGTTTCCCACTCAAGAAGCTCACTGACTGGCAGCCTTAAGGGCAAGGACCTTATCAGGCAGACCTGATTCCCATCCCAGGTCCTGGGGTACCAGGCAGGGTTAGATAAGGCTGGGCTTATCAACTCAGCTCCAACAGCCCCGGAGAAAACAAAAGAGCAGCACAAAGTTTCCACGCTTGGGAAGAAGTCAAGGTTAGCAAAGCACTAGACCCAGGTATCTGGCAGAGGTGACAAAGGGACCTTACAACTGAAAGCAACAAGACCAGGTGGGGTCAGGGACACTCTTGGAGTGCCGGTAACCAGAGGCAGGATAGGCTCAGGAGAGGCAGCCCTTGCCCGCATGCCATGTAGACTATCCCACACAGCTGCCACCTAGAGGAGAAGGGAGACAATAGAGCAAAGCCAGAATTAGTTGAATTTTAAGATGAAAAGACTGAGAAAACACAGAGGATTTCTAGAAAGAATCAGGGTCGCATGGTATTAAGTGGATTATGTTGAATTAGGAAAAAATAATGTTATATATTTCTTGCACACACTAGTTTGTGGCTTAGGAAAATTCAAACATGCTTATAAACATGCCAATGCCTTGCCCCGTATGCCATACCATGCAGAGAGAAGGGGCTGTTTGGGGTTAGTGAGTCTCTCAGAAATTTAAGAGATGGCTAGAATCGCAAGGCATAAAGTGATAGTACCTGAAAGTCTTCTAGAACACAGTTCAGAAAATATTATTTCTTTAAAGGGCCAGATAATAAACATTTTATGCTTTTCCAACTGTATAGTCTCTGCACCTCTTCAGCTCTGCCATGGCAGCACAAAACAGCCATGTACAATACATAAATGAGTGGGCCGCGCTAGGTTCCAATAAACTTTAATTATGGAAACTGAAGTCTGAATTTCATGTCATTTCCACGTTTCACAAAATATGAATATTCTCTTGAATTTTTTTCAAGCATTTAAAAATATAAAAACTATCCTAAGCTCAAAGGCCATAAAAATACAGCCAGCTTTATATCTGACTTAGAAAAGCAACCAACAGTTCACCTTCAGACTACTGCTGTGGGAGCAGAAGACATCTGTTGAGCCCTAAGTCCTGAAAAACAGGGCCCATGTCTGTTTTCCTTCCTTGGGGTAAATGTGATATCTGACACAACGTAGGCATTAAATTGCTCTTCATTGATTTCATGATCGAAAAGCCTTTTCGTCACTTTAAAAACTGTTTTGTTGCTCCATGTAACTTAACAAATGTCTGCAACGGTGATTTATTTATTTGCAAGAATCACCATGAGTCAAAAGGAGACTTTCATAAATAAATAAACAAATGGTAAAAATTCAGTGTGGGTGGCTGGGAAATGGCAAATCATTGTTAGTTCTGTTTAAAAGAGAACCTGCTGGCACTAAGAACTAAAAGGGAAGTAACAGCAAATACTGTTCCTGGTAAGAAAGGAGCCATCCTGTGCCTTTCTCCTGATATTAATTCTGTGCCTTCCATTTGGCCTTCAGAGGTGTCTTCTACCATTATGCCCATGGCATGATAAAGCTACCTGGGTAACAAAACCCTGGGAACCTTATCAGGGACCCACAACATGGGAGGAGTCACTGCTGAAAATCCTTCTGCTGTGTCCTAAATTGGCAGCACCTTTCCCCATTAAGCCACACAACTTCTAGGCAGAACTGAGCAAACTCAGACAAAACCACACGGCTTAGGGCTGCCTTAATTCATCATTTATCCAAATAAGCTTCAACGGGTTCCTTTTTAAGTTTTCCTTTCTTTTTAAAAATCCCAAGTGAATTTGCAAAGGGAAGTATTGAGAATGTGGGGGGAATTGGGGATGATAACTAGTGTGTTGGTACCAAGAAGAGGCAAAAGAAAAAGATCAAAGATTAGTTTCTCTAAGCTGGGTGGCACCTTGGCACGGAATCCTGGGAACAGATGCCGACTGATTTGAATAAAAAAAGAGCAGAAGTAACCAAAGATAAGAAATAATTGGCTAAAAGATATAAAACCAGACTTCTGACTGGGGATAATAAAGTTTTCCAAAGCAGTTGTTAAAATAGCTGACTTTTAAAAATCAACCTCAAATAAAAAAATTAGGAAAAGAAATGCATTGTTAAATATTCTCTACCTCCAATTGAGAATTAAGATGTGGGCAGAGAAGAAGACACCCTTTCCAAAGTCTCAGCAGGACCAATCAATCTTGTGGAGGCCTTTGTGTTCCTAAGAGAGTGATGTCAGCACCCATCGCAGGAAGAAGAAAGAAATGTTTGCACTAAAGGTCACTTGAGAACTATAAAGAAAAATGTTATTTGTAATGACTTAGAAAGGCTTCCAGGAAGAAGAGGAGTCAACTTGCTGTTTTAGAATGAAAGGAAAAGAAAAAAAAAAAAAAAACAATGCTCCCAGTTAAAAATAGTCATTTAGATATTCCAGAAAGTCTATGAAACTTTGAGGGGAAAGAATCCAAGGGTACGATTATGGGAAAATAAACTGTTATATTAATGAACTGTTAAAAGTACATTGTGCATTTACATATGTATGGGTCATAAAAATAATTGAAAAAGTTTTTGACAGTAAGAAGGCAGAGACTAACAGACCCTCTACCCTACATCCTGATGGACCTTGAGAATTCTTAGGTTAATCAGATAGTCATGGCTCATGAAGACATCCAGATCAGACAACCTGGAGCCACATTTCAGCTCTGTCACCTCTAAACTGAAAACTGCTACATGTCATTCAACCTTTCAAAGCCTTAGTCTCTGTTATTGATTAAGTGAAGACAATGAGTGTCCCTTGTGAGTCATTGTTAAATGAATTTCCTACACAGAGTGGATACATGGCAGGTGCACAACAGAAGTAGACTTGAACCTGTTGTATTTGAAGTAGGTTAGTTTCCAACTGGATTGAGCATGTACTATGTGTCAGTCCTCTATTTAGACTGCTTTGGTCTTCTCAGCAGCCCTATGATCAGGGACAACTGTCACCCCCTATATACAGATAAAGAAACTGAGGTTCAAAGACACCAAAAATTTGCTCACAGTGCAAGCTAGTGAGTGCCAAGCCAGCCAGCCTGGCTCCCTGCCTCCAAACATGAGATGGGAAGGTGACTGAACTTGTACCATCTTCTTCTTCTCTGTTTCCATCAAGACATAAGGAAAAAGATAAGGAGATTTTCCCCTCTCAATAGCATAGACATATGTGGAATCAATTGTCTTAAACAACCCTCTGAGACATGTACCACATCTTCTCCATTTTATGGAGGATCCAACTTAATGTGCAGAGCCATTGTAATGCCAAGACTACTCTCAACCACTATGCTATGCAATAGCCCTAAGTGTTCAAGGGAAATTGGTTTCAAAAGCCTCTGCAAGTGCTCAAATTCTCAGATGTTCAAGGACCTTTTAAAAAATAGTGTATTTTGTATAAAACCTACACACATCCTCCCATATACTCTGAATCACCACTGCATTGTTTATAATATCTAATAAAATACAGACACTATGAAAATAGTTGTATATGATATTACTTAGGGAATAATGACGAGAAAAAAGTCTATAGATGTTTGGTACTATCCAATACTTAAAAATACTTTCCATCCGAAGCGGGCTGAATCTGTGGATGCAGAACCCTTTGCTAAGGGTGCTGAGTGTTCAGCCTCTCAGCTTTGGGCTTTTAGAGGCAAGCCAACAAGCAATTATTGGTGCCGCCCCAGCCAGGTACTGGTGGTGGCAGGAGAATGGTCAGCAAATGTAGCTTTAGGGGAAATTGTAAATTGAAGCTGGAAGAAAAGTAATATTTATTGACAGCTTATAATTTAAGTGAGTAGGGACATTTTAAGTTAATAATATCCTAACTGGAGTTCCAAATTCTTGGACTTCACCGAATATAATAATAGGGGCCTGTAAGCTATTTTCAATATTTCAAAAATGCCTATTAGTGTGTCACTAATCATATAAAACAGTCTTTGTGTATGGTAATGAAGACTTAAAGAAGAAAACTTTTAGGGAAAAACTTCATAATCAGACTTGAGAAAGATTTCAAGGATTTGTAATTCTGGAAACAAGTGAATTTTTGTCCTGTGAGAATTGAAATAATCCCTATAGATGTCAAATTTACCCTGATAGAGAAGATAACCCCATTATCAAAGAGAATTCAACAAAACTCAGACTTGAGGAAAGAAATTGTCGGCAGACATGAAAGGAAATTTTAGCCATTTACTTAGAATTGCCAGTCACCGTAGGAGCAGAAGAGGCATTTTTCTGCCAACTGGTTGAAGCTCGTGCCAGAATAATCCTGCTGTTTCTTAATTGTCCTAAAAGCTTGTAGCCAGCAATTTCCCTGCCAAGCCTGACCTCACTTTCATGTTTTTTATAATATGCAGATCACGAAGTGTCCCATTCAAGATAGGAAAAGGAGAAGTTATTTCCTTGGCCTTACTCTCTTTGGAACTCACCATATTATAATCTATCTGTATAACGTGTCCCTGTAAAATAATGTATCAGTGGTCATCTCAAAACCTTGAGTTTTATTTTCTTTCTGTACAACCATCCTTGAGCACCTTTCAAGGTATGATTTATCCTCATGGAAATCCTTTATGATCCTTATCGAGGTAAGGGAGGGAAGCAATGTTACTCCCATTGATGACAGAATTATGACTGCCCAACATAAAATTCTATGTGTGGCATAAGTTGCAAGTTGCAGAATGAAATAGAGTGTGCTCACATTTTTTCATAAAAGGCAAGGTGTGGAACAGTGTGGGTGTGCACACGCATGGGCAGTTGCAAATGGAGGTGGGGTGTGAAAGATCTTGCAGTATTCACTGTAGTATCACTTAATGGCTCCCTCCCAAGGTGGGAGTGAGTGAAGGGGCTATCACCAAAGATGTTTACTTGTACCTGGGTACCTCTGCTTTTTAAATGTTTCATAATAACATACGATGTTTTTATAGCTTCAAAAATAATTTGGGAAAGTTTAAAATAGGTGACAGATAGTCTATGAAATTGGTAGTCTTAGCTACTTTATTCAGTTGGATTCATATTTCCTGAGCAATATGAAACCAATTTCCCATGAACACTTAGGGCTCTGGAAGCAAATAGTTGCTTGACATCTGAGTCTTGTGCAAATTAATTATACCTCATTGGAATGGAGATTGAGTTTGGATGACCACAGTCTTTCAGTGAGCCTCTTTTGGGCTTCATAGAGTTCTTTGAGGAACAAAACAAAGATTTCAAAAAAAGTAAATACACTTCTTTATAATTTATTTAGATCTTTGTACAAGCTTTTGGTAGGGTCCCACAATAAAGGCAATTTGGGGATAAATATTCCATAAGAGAAAGTCCTTTCTATTCTGGAGCATGATCAAGAAACTGTAGTGTAGGTGAAAAATAAAAAGTTTGATCTTGAACTTGTATTCAAATTCTGACTTCTACTTAAGAGCTATTTGGCCTCAGAAAATCTACTTAATCTCTGGAACTATTTAATCTACTGTAACATGGAAGAATAAGTTGAGTATGGGGTACACACATGAAGTCACAGCTATTCAGAAAGCTGAGGAAGGAGGATCACCTGAACCCATGAGAGCAGCCTGAGCAACACAGCAAGATCCAGGACAGAAGGAAGGAAGGAAGGAAAAAGGGAGAGAGAGGAAAGAGAGAAAAAGAAAGAGAGTAAAAGGAAGAGAGAGGGGAAGAAAGAGAATGGGACGGGAGAAGGAGGAAGGAAGGATGGATAGTAGGGTGAAGGGTTCCCTGGAAAGAGTATTGCACAATACCTGGCTTAGGGTAGGTGATTTAGAGTTGGTGGGCTAATTTATTTTTTTTGAAATGTAAATGGGTTTTAATCTATATTGATATTTATAATGAACTAATAAAA